CGCCGGTTGTGGTGTTCATGCAAAGCAAATGCAGGGACACTCTCACGAAAGAGAAGCCATCAATCTGTGACATAAAAGGACTTGAGAGCACAAGAGGGACACTCTTCAGCTCAATTTGTCCTACTGCCAACTGGAACATTCAGCATGGAACCCTAAATGTTTGCTTTTTAAAGAGTACTTGTGGTTTCTCCTTTGAATTCATATAAAAATCCTGAGCTCAATGTGTGATTACTATGCAAACTATTTTTATTCTAAAAATGCTGAAGGAGTAGTCATGCAGAAAGCACTCACAAAGGAAGGGAGATTTCAATTACCCACAACTTCCACCACTCCCCGCTTTAGTTGAATCATCCCTGAATGTAGAAAGCACAGAGATAGCTAAATAATACCATGCATCCCTGAAAGGAAATTTCTTCTAGCATGCTTGAAGTGCCAAGGCTTGTCATGTGTTTCCAGAACTGAGCAGAGCACAGCTCTGTCCCCTTGGATGCTACAAACAGGATGCTGAGCAGGCAGAATATTCCTGTGTGCTTAAGCAGGACGTTTTATCTGAGGAGCTCTAAAGCATCACACAGGAAATTTTCACAGTATTCCTGCATGGATCGCGTCCTTCAGCTCTCTACAAGAGAGGAGCAAGAACAGTCTAAACTGCACCTCTAGAAATAAAGACTACGAACCCTTCATAGATTCCTAGCTCAAAAGTGTAACCATTACAGTACACAAATTCAAAAATATGATGAGCAGCAAAGAAGATTCCTTGGAAGAGCCAATATACTTAATATAAAGACCCTGAGAACTCCTTCCAAGATAATACGTGATGAAGAAATAAGAAAATACTGTATGGCTCTGTGAAATAAATTTTACCATCACCAGAGTAAGCTTAGGAGTGCAAACACAGGGCAGTGGGTTTGCTGGGGCATTAAAAAGGAGAACCAGCAATCGTACGTGAGTAGGAAAGAATGGCCTGAAACAGAATCTGATCTCTCAAGGATGTGCTGGGCTCTCTTTTTCTTCCTCCCATTTCCGAGCTGAGGCTCGGCCGCAGCCTGGGCACGCTGCACCCCCTCCAGAACCTGCCTCTGCGGCGCCTTTGGCGGGAGCGCTGCAGGTTGCCTATCCCGGGTGTAAGCAGGCAGGATTTCAAGTGCAAAATGAAACTGAGAGCACTTCTTCATACGGCTGGAAGGGACTGCAAGAGTTACAAAAAATGGAGACTTATCCAATGAGCACAGAAAAGGTGCATAGGCTGTAGAAATCAAGATGTCGGCTACACATCAGCCTCTTGTTAGAGAAGAAAAGAGCACTTTGGATTAAGAGGACATTGCTACAATCCAGGGTAGTGCAAAACCTAATAGATTCCAGCCTAACAGCAAAACTCAACCCTCACGCAACCCTTGCAAGGTGAAAAGATTGAGGCTGCTCTTTGAAACTGGGAACACATATAATCCATTCAAGCAAAGCCTCAGCCAAGGAGGCTGGTGACACTTCGGAGTCTGAAGTGTCACTGAATAGCGGACACGAAGTGTGAAGGTCACCACAGAACTGAAGTGGCCCTGGATGCAGAACAGGGGAGAGACTTGTTTGCACACCAAGGAGCATCACAAGAGTCCTAGTGACACACCAGATGCCAGGGGATTTTTAACTGTGCCCCTCTCTAATTGAGGACGAAGCACACACCAACGCCGTTATCTGGCCTGAAGATACTGGCTTACAAAATATGGAGCAAACAATAGGAACAGATGCTCATTTGGCCAGATTTCAATAAGCCTCATTAAAACCAAACACCCTGTCCTTGGAGCTCAGGTCCATGCTACATTTCTAGCTTATTTAGGCACATAGCACCAATTCCGGAGAAAGCCATCCACTTGTGGTTGCACACAGCAGCATCATGCAAGAAACCCTCTCTCAGGTATTTTGTGGTTTGCAAAGGGACAAGTAGGAGGATTTTATATGTGTGTGTAAAAAATACCTTTTTAAAAACATTATGCTGAACAGGTATCACACTTGTTGAACACTCAAAAGCAATAGGTGGAAAAAATACCAAAATATTGATGGAAAGACTGCTGAGAATTAAAGAGAAACAACACTACTAACCACATATTCTGTGATTTTGTGATATAAGTGACATGCCAAAATATACAATCCCTCTTCTGTCAAAATATAAGCACAATTAAAACAACTGCTATGGCAGCTTATTCAATTCATTGTATCCAAGTACGTCCAGGTTCTATACAAGAGAGCTTCAAAGGACAAATAAATACCAGAAGAGCAGGGCTAAGAACAACATACAGAGTCATTAAAACTAGATATTCTCTGTCAAGTTTTCTGATTTTATTGCTAAATGTCCGAATAAAACTAGATAATCCATAGACTTGCGAAAGCCACAGAGCACCTGGCTGTAGACAGTGAGCACGACATCAAGTAAGAGACAGGGCAGGCAGCGTTTCCTAACACAGACCTCACCGAGTGGCCAGGAGGCAGCAGTCCTACACCACATTCCCTATTTGAAAATAGGCATAAATTTATTTTAAGCTTCTTCCTTTTTCTTCTGTTTTAGAAAGAATGCTAGTTATTAGGTGGGTAAGTTGCAGCTGAAGGTCGGTACAGCAGCACTTATCCACAAGCAGGTTGATGGATGGACAGTGGTTCAGTCTGTAAAAAGATATCTGAGTACTGATATGTGTGGCCTCGAGGGAAACTGCACGTCATTCTTTCAACAAATTTGAGAAACACCTAGCACATGATCAGCAAATTGCATTAATATAGTTGTCACCCTACACAATTTTCCTTCTCGCAAGTAGGTGCAGAATCAGGAATTCTGTTTTCAAAGGAAAAATATTCTCTCTTGCAGACTGACTGACACTTCTGACAAGCTTGTGATAATGCTGACTCCTCAGACTGCACTGCAGAACCAGGAAAGGCAAATTGTGACATACAGACACGCATATATATACACATATGCATGTATCTCCTACAATACTTTCGGAAAAGTGCTGCAGATAAAGAAAGCCACACTTACCCTTTCTAGTATTCATTCTCTTGACAAAACATTTTAATGTTCAAGGCTATAAGACACATCAATCACAGAGGATAAAACTCACCATGTGCCGAAGTCTAAGAGAAGGCCTCTGAACTCCTTAAATCCCACTTAAGCCTTTCACCTAGGGTACATTTAACAGTTGTGCCATTTGCCTATGCCATCACTAAGCCATCTGCATCTAGCTAACTGGATTTATAAATGCTTCAACATTTTTGGAATTTGAAAGATATAAGCTCCCTTAGAATCTATTTCACTGTTTTGTGACTAGAAAGGCAAAGGAAAGGGACACAGTGGTGACACAAGCTAGTACTAGGGGAAATATATCCCCTACTTATTATCTATATTGCAGGACAATAGACATTTCAAAACATATACTTTTCCAATTCCAAGGGCACAGTTCAAATTCATCCTAAATAACATGAAATTGCTGGACCTGCCTCCACCTCTCCCCACACTTCTTTCACAAGCCCACAGAAACAGGGTTTTAGGAGAGTTTACAACTGGAGACAGCACATTTGAAATTGATGTTACTTCAATGAAAAGAAGCATCTTGTCAATTTGCAACTGTACTTCTTGCACATCCTTGCTCCTTAGTAAAATGGTCAGGTCAAACACGGTGCTGCAGAGCTGGCGGGGTTGAATGCTTTCCTGGAGCTTGTCGGGAGCTGCCTCATGCCATGATAATAATGCTCTGTGCCCAAGCACTTCCCTAAGAGCAGCTCCGGTTCCTTCTTTCAAGAGTTTCACCTACCTGATAAGGGGCCTTAAAGAAGCAATGTGCAAAACCAGCAGTCTGGAGCTGGGAATGTGGGTGCTGGGATTGGCTATCTGCACTCTGCACCAAGCTTGGCAGCTTCTCTCGGAAGCACCTCTCCCTTAGAAGGTAACTTTGCCTGCTGAGTGCAGCCTGCGAGCACCTGCAAGCACCAGGACAACCTCCTGCGCTGGCCAGTTCCCTGACAAAATGGACCTGATGGGACACCCAGTTTCACCAGCAAAATCATAGCAAATATTTAGCCTGGGAAATTATTGTTAAGGTACCCTAAAGCAGGCCATGAAGGCACAAAGCACATTTAACAACCATTCAAATGTATGGGGGAAAAAAAGGGACTTTAAGAAGATCCAAAGAACAAGCAAATGAAAAGAGAACAGGTCAGGCAGTGGTCTGGTTGTGGTGACGGAGAAGCAACAAAATGCCAGCTGGTTTGGGGAACAGCTGGCTGCCTGCACTGAGCTGCCCTTCATGCCCCTTCTAAACTTGCCCCCAGTGGAAACACGAAGCTGAAGTGGGGCCGAACACGTCCTCTGCACCAGCCTTTTTATACATGTCGCATCACAGCTGGAACATTTTCCATTCACAACCAGCCATGCACCTTATTTTACACTAGGTACACTGAGTTTTAAGAGAGCGGATCGTGGCACCTCAACTCTCTATTCACATTTCTCTTACGGGCTGATATAGCCATTTTATTCCCATTCCAACTGCCCTATCTCCCTATTCGGCTTGTCCTAAATATAACACTCACTTTATTTTAATTAAAAGGCCTTTCTTTACAACTGCTTCTGCACATCCCCCTTGGTAGCTAAGAAAGGGAACCATGACAGAGTTCTCATGCAATGGTTTTACAATATGTCTGGACATTTACCATTTAAGGTTGCCACAGCTAATTACATGGCAGCAGTAGGTCATCCCATTGCAAAAGCCTATTACTTGCATAGCAAATGAACTTCAATCTCAACAGCTCGAGACTTTAAATAATCATTTCCATAAGAGGAAAACATTAGTTGGCCAGCTCTGAAAACACTGTCATGATTAGAAAAATCTAAAATATTTGCTTTCTGATTGAATATTTTTTTGTATGTGTAACTTCAACAAGAGCTTTTCTTTAACAGCATCAGAATGTTAAAACAAAACCAAGCAAACATAAACCCTCAAGAACACAGCCATTCTGTTACTTACTTTGGCCACACAATTCTCAGTCTTCATAGCAGTGCTTCCTAGACACACTGTTTCCTGGTTTAAGCACAGTCTGGCACAGCTGTTGTAGGTCTGTAGGAAGATTAAAAAGGTTATGAATAGAAGAACAGAAATTTTATTTTAGGCACCCCATTTTTTGCAACAGGTCCATGAAGTCATTCTACCCCATTTCTGAACCACTTCCTTTTTTCCCCAAGGTGTGAAAGTTTTGAGCCCACACAAACTATTCTATATGCAGAACCTGTGCTGCAGGCACACATTTCCTCTGAGTAGCTCTGTGCCTTTTTTCACTTCAGAGACACAAAGATTGAAAAGGCTTATGTCATCTTTTATTTTTTTTATTAGGTTAATCTTTATATTTATCTTGATATTCAGGGACAAAGGGATTTGATTGTACAAGGGTTACAAGCACATGTGAACGCGTGCATGCCTGATCTCACCTGTTCTACTTCACTCTCCCACCTTTGGGAAGCTCATCCTTTCCAAGGAGGATGTCTTTTCTTTAATTCAAGTGCACCTGCACTGGAGACCCTCGACCAGGGCCACAAACTTCAGGAGCCTCTACAAAATGTGCCCCTCTCAGCACCTCCCTGCTCTGCGGTCAGCATATAAACAATACCTAGTTAAGTGTGCTTGCAACTATGCTTTAGTGCATTTGGCTATTTAAACTAAGATGCACAAAGAACTCAGGAGTTTATAATGGAGTTTTTTCCCCCTTACTTTAAACATTTTGTTAATTATACTTTATTAGGCTCACATTTTACTAGCAGCAGGACAGTAGCACCTAAGAGCTCCAGTATTGGACTAAAATCCCATCGTGCTAGGCCTAGAAGACACTATTCCCTGCCCCAAAGAACTTGCAATTTTCGGGCTGACCAAAAGACAGATGGACAAAGGAGTGCAAGGAAAAAATACCAGCGTGGCAGGCAGTAATCTCTGTGCACCAGCTGCTCACCCAGTCCAACTTCTTGGGAATGCTGCTGTAAAGGACTGGTCTGTGGCTGCTCACAGAAAACTGCTCCCAAGTTACTTCATTCAAAGAATAACAAGTGGAGCACCTAGAAGATGTGAAGTGTGCTAAGAAGTGTGTGAACAAGCTAAGAAGCATGTTGAAGAGAATGAAATTAAATGTTTGGCACAAAGACATTTCCAAGAAAACTAGAGCAAATATATTAACATTCATGATATTGTTAAGATCACTGAAAGTGATGAACATGCACAGATTTGTAGTGAAGTGTTTGTCTGCTCTCTTCCTGTAATATTTGCTGACAGTCTTGCAAGATCCTCCTTTCAGGAGGATACCTTGGATTTCTGATGTTTGCTTCTAGATGAATTAAATCCCAAACTTGCCCTGGGTTACCCAAGTCACAGCAGCGCTGATGTGGTGGGGGCTCCTCCATCTCGCCCTGCTCCCTCAGGGCCAGGCTCCCTCCTGCTCCACGCTGTGCCAAGCACCAGCCAAACAAACAGTCTCTTTTGCTCTCCAAGCAAAAAACTTCACACTGATTGCAAGGGGTCGGCAGTAAAAGACAGGCCCATGTACCCAGTGGTTCCTAACCCAGTCTGCAGGCTCAGGAGGACATAAGCAGCAACACAGAGGCACTGGGTGATTAAAGCCAGGGGAAGCATCACTCGCTGTTCACCCGGGCTATTACGATCCTCCTTAAAGACTCATTGCTGCCCACCGTGGAAAACCAGAACACTGCTCCAGGTGGGTCTATCCTGGTCTGATACTGTACAGTCACCCTTGGGGCAGTTCAGGAATTCATGGCCGTTTCCATCTACATTTCTTTCCAAACACTCCTAAACTTCATCATGAAGTAAACAGAGGAGCACAAAATCCCTGTTTTCTCCACTACTTTATCACTTTACATTTTACTTTGCAATGAGTGCTCTAACCAGAAAAGAACCAGTGACAGACAGGAATGCGGAATATCCCGGCTCCAGCAGATCTCCTTACAAGGCATAACACTGATATCTGCTGCCACTAGCAACCCACTAGCAATTTCTGACTCCGGATCCAGAAGAAGAAACTGAAAAATTCAAGCACATGAAGCCTTTCAAAGCACCGTGCAGACGCACAGAGTGCATCTTTCAGCAGGGGAGGTTTAGACTCAAACTGGGATTAGCCCACAAGCAAACAGAAGTCTGATGGACTCAACTTAGCCCCTTGCAAATATTTGCCAACACCATAAAACCATCACTCTGGTATGCAGAGCACTTTCTCCTCAGAAGAGAGATCAGAATAGCATAAACTACTATAAATTGTAGCTTAGATGGAGTGGCTCAACTGGTGGACAGAAAGTTGACACCATCTGCTTTGCACTAGCGTTCAGACAATGCCACGTGTTGTATTTTATATAAGCATCACACTAGTCAAATCAAGCCTAGATTCTGGAGATGAAAACCCATGAACAGTCAGTAAGATATTTTATTCACTATTTAGCTTTGTGTATATTTAACCCATCTGGTTTATCATGAATCTGTGATCCTTCATTTGCAATTTCACTCCTAAAATTCCAGTACTAGTATTCCTAAAAAAAACTTACCTACTACACATAGTTTTTTTGAAGAGAGGCCCTGACTCACAGAAAGCTAATACTAACTCCACTTTATGTATGGAAAGCTCAGCCAGCAAAGCTTATACTGACAGGATCTTATGCACATGGAAGACAGTACATTTTAGTGTGCACAGCAGTAACTGAATTTCCAGCAAAACAAAACAATTTGTGCATCAAATCCCACAATGCAAGAAAGGGAGACACTTGATGAAGCTACAGTTGAGGATAAATTTAAGACGGAAGAAAGAAACCCCGTCTTCACACAGGCAGTCGTGACCTTCTGGAGCCCGCGGCCACACGATGCCATGGAGGGGGACAGCATCAGCCAGCAGAAAAAGGGATGAGGCTACAGGTTTGAGAGCCAACCAAACCAACAGTGATGAGCAGCTCACTAGCCTCTACTGTATTCTTATTTGCACGTTTTCTGCACATTTGCACTGAAGGCTGAAGGCATCCACTTTGTACAATGAGTAAAATGATGAACGCCAGAGAAGACGCATGTGGATGTTCTACAAAATGTTCAGGAAGGTCTCAAGCAAAAACTTGGAACGCATCCTAGTTCTCCTTAAAAGTCCAGGGTAAAAATGAGGCAATATCAGTGTACATAGAAGGCTTCAATGGAAATGTACTGATAAGGATGCAAAGAGACTGCAGCTGGCTCATGAAGTCACAAATCATGAGAAGCCAAGAGGATATTTTGTGGAATTATTACTATATGGTTGCCCTGTTCCAACGCTTCTCCATAGATAGCACTTCTGGCTACTCTCAGACACAAGATCCTGGCATAGCTGGACATTTGGTTTCATGTGGCACTCTCATAGCTGTGTTCACACATGAGCCGTTATTAGCAAGTAGTATGAATGCTGTTCTATCAAGGAATAACCCAGAGTCCTAAATTTTAGGTGAAACATTTCAAGGTGCCTCGTGTCACCCTGCAGCATGAGAGTATCTCCCTTCACTGCTTCAGATGCCCATGGAATTGCTGACTAGTCTAGAAGAAAAACACAAATGTCAAAACCGGAATCCAGGTCTTGGAAAAGCAAATCTCTCCCTTCACCTTTAAAGCTAACCCTTTTAAAGATCTCATCTAGTTTGCACCAAAACTGTTCAAGTTTTTCCTCACCTTTCATCAAGATAAGAGGTTTCTTTGCCATGGGAAAGCACTCTGAAACGGTAGCCTGGTTCAATGCTGCAGGCAGACAGCTTTGCGTTGGAGTGCTTTAATATGTTTTCATATTGCATATAAAGCATGCAAACATAAACTAGTTTGTTGAAAACTACCTTCTTTGTGGAAGCTGGCTGTAATTCTGAACAAGTTTTCAATTTTCGCATTGCTGCTAGGGTAAAACATTTTAAAGAGTTTAATTTTTACAGTGGCTCAATGACACGAGATTATCTAACAAAGTAATGGTTAATCAATAGAGGGTTTAGTTGTCAGGTGAAACATATAACACACTAAAAGGGATTGATTGCAAGGCTCCTCCTTATTTACTAGGAGGTATATATTTAAAATGACACAAACTTGTTACCAAGCTGCATTCCTTTAACCTTGCAAAAGCCGTTTGAGAATGGTGTTAAGCAGCCCTATAGCAAAACAAGCTCTAATGAAAAAAAAAAAATCTACAAATATATGGCAGCACCAAATCATGTCAGAAGCAGGGGAACCACAAAGCTGGATTCATTCTCAGCCGAAGGCTTAAAATGCCACAGAGACGCTAGACTACAGCTCACTAAAGATAGAGCTGTATCTGATCTCATTCCATAAGTGTCTTTGGTTACATTTTTCTAATGCTTCTCTGCCTTGGTCTGATTGACCGACTTTATTTTTTTAATAAAGCATCATCCCGTTCTTTGACACAACCGTTTCTACTCACACCACGTAGCTCCGCACAAACACAGAGCGCCAACCTGGAGCCTTGAACCCAAGGCAGAACGGGGTTTGCGCAGCTTTTTTTTTGCCAGCAGAAATCCATTTCTTTGGCCATTTATCCGAAGAATCCCCAGTCCCTGAACAAAACTCCACTTTTTAATAGAAGCTGCAACCCAGGAGTTCAATAAGATCCTCCCCCCACCATAGTTAATAATTACATGATTTATCAGAGAAAGATAACACTAATAAAAACGCAGCAAAGAGACACAACCCATACCCTCCCTTCAAGTTATTTTCAGGGAAAAGATTATTAAACTGTTCTTTTTGAACAAGGGCTTTTGTAGCTAAGCAGAAATTGCCAAACGGTTAGAAAAAAAAGAAGTTATTAGACTCAGAAGAATTCAGCAGAAGTGGGAAGTTATATAAACAAATCACTCGAGCAGGTTTGGAAAGATCGCTTTCATCTTACTTAGAGTCTTAGGAGACTTGCATTAATTATCCTTGAAAGGTCTTTCACATGGACTATTTAAAATAAATGCAATTTATTTATTTATTTCAAATGAGGTGCTTCAGAAAGAATTAAGTAATCTCAACAAATTTAAAAACGTTTTTATAAACAGGTAATTAAAAAGAAGACTAGA